ATCATATGTTTGAAATGCTGATTTTTAGTATTTGTGTTCTATTTCTGTTGTCAGAATGATGCTGTTTGCTTTTTGATCTTCATTTCAGATTTCATTCACTTCATACCTTCATCGATGAATTCAATGAATTTGTTTTCCACATCTCAAAGGTAAATATAAACTAGTACTTTTTAGTCCACTTAATTAACCTGCTGAAAAATGTCAATGTGACCATTAAGCGACTTTGAACTGTATACATGCAATTAAATTATTATGCAGTTACATTTTTGAAATATTAACTTCCTCGGAGATTTTTCAAGAAAATATTTCATGTCAAAGTGGTTTTGGCTGACAAAAATGTTTGGGAATCCATTTAATTTGTGAGAAATTGTGATTTACTGACATTGCGTGAATATGTAATTACGTAATCCATAAAAAGTAACTGTAATCTGATTATGAACATTATAAAATGTAACATACTCCAATGATGTGTATATGATTATTGCAATCTAATTATAAAGATTACATGTAATCAGTTCCTACCCAGCTCTGCTGATGATCATATACAAAATGGTGCAGGGACATTATTGAAACATTTTAAATAAATGTTTTAAAATATTTTTATTAAGGCTTATTCCTGCAGTTTTTAATAGCTTGATAAAAGTCACGTCCCCACAGCTGACAAAAGGGTGGAAAAATGTTTGATGAATGATTCAATGACTCACAACGCACTGGTCGGTGAACGTATCTTTTTGGTGAAAGCGTTCAAAATATTTGAGTCACTGGGTTGAAACAATGCCCTGCACTACTTTTTCACTCTTGAGTTGTATGTTTGAATTATTAAAAGGACCTTTTGTTCTCCCGAATTACAGAGTTAAATGGTTTAATCATTGCAAATAGAGTCCCAAGTAAATCTTTTGCAGACATTCAACTTTAGACTACCTTGCTGTGGTAAAAAGTGTTTGGAATGCCCACACAGCCTCAATGAGATTGGCATCCCTCAGTCATGAATGCCAATCCATGCCCTTTAAAGAGGATTATGCTCATGTTTGTGCCTGGCGGGACAGCCAGAACACTGCAGACTTAGGCCACAGCTGAAAGGATTTTCAGCCCTGACAAGGAGCCAAAATACAAGAGTGAACAAATGCGGTTTACCAACCAGAAACAGTCAATATTATAAACTTCCTCAGAATAATGCACCACAATGTAAATTAATACATCCATACAATGTAATTTCCTCCTTAAACCTCTAGCCCAGGCAAATTTTTTTTTTTTAAGTATTTGAAGTTTCCATTAGAATGGTTCATTTTTAATGCAATACTGAAGGATATAATCGTAACACTTTATCATCATACCAACTAAGTGGAAAGAATGTACAAAAGACCCATTTCATTAATTTGTGCAATCTAGATTTAAATAAGCAATGTTTGTGTTCCGACAATCCTGTAAGTTAAGTCTTAAAATACTTTGCTACAATAAACATTAACATCCCATTCAAGTAGCAAATTTTACTAGGGAAGAGAACACAGAGTCACAAATCTGCAAAGTCACAATTTTATTGTCCTTGATAAAAAGATATCGTGCAATTGAGTATCTATCATAAAAATGTTCACAAGCGTCAGCAACAAAAACTCAGTATCTAATTCAGACCAGCCTGAATTTAGTGGTCCGCTTGAGGTCATTATGAAGATTCAAGCTTGAAATGACTGCAAAAATAAACCGTTTTACCCTGCTGTCAGTGTCGTTAGCATATGGTCACGAAAACCCTGCCATGAATATACTAGGATTGCTACATGCTGGTGCAGTCCTTCCAAAAGCCCTGGAGGGGCCAGCATTTTAAAATCCGTGAACCTTCAACTGCTCTTCCTTTACGATGTTGATCTGCAAAATAGAGAATGAAGATGAGTAACCGCTTAAACCAATTTGATTTGTAGTCAAAAACAATCACAAGGCCAATCAAATTAACCACACTTTGGAAAGAGAAACGGCTTGCAACTAGTAATATGATATTCCAAACATAAGCATACTTTACCTCCATCAGAAACTGACAGATATTCTTCCTTTGGTCCCCCTGTAACTGAATCACCTCTCCGTACTCCGGGTGCTCGATCACCGTACCATTACAGGCAAATTTCTGTCAAATAAAACCATGCAATTTTACTCCACATCAAATAGCACTGAAATGCTCTCAAACAACAAGTTAGAAAATACCTTCTTAAAGGCTTTTACAAGTTTCTTTTTATCATAATCATCCGAGATGCCTTGCACTGTGGTCAGTGTTTTGCGGCCGTTCCGTTGCTGAATCCTTATGTGGATTTTATCCTCAGTCCCAGCCGGGAGCAAGTCGTCACCCTTAGTTGCATCAGCAAAGGGATCTAGAGAGAGAAACACTGAAACGTTTCAGTCTCGGTTACAAGAAACAAATCTCACATACACTACTGTAATAAGAGCACGAGACTAAAGAAGAACTGCAAGTCGCATAATAGGAATGAGATCAAATAATGAGCACCATCTGATTGTGGTTTATTAGAATCACCAATATACATTTTTTTTCTATCACTGTGGGACTTTTAAATGACTTCTTAGGCAAAATCTGGTCTTTACACAAACATACACTTTTGCAGTCACTTTTGATTTCTGGATAAGAATATTTTAAAGTAGTCTTGCACTAACAAGCAGCTAAAGTGAGCATAAATATGAAAATAAGTTTCCATTATTTTCCAAGTTTTAAAATCATCTGATATTTGCCATGCCTCATCTCTTTTTTTTACGAAAAATGCTAGTTACTCACTGCATCTACTGTTTTTAAATCACATGCTCGTACTGACACGTTTATGAGCGCACAGAACAAACCACACAGACCATGCTTGAGATGATTTCCGTTTAAACCCGTGCACGACGCGGAACGGTACAACTTACCGAAGGACTGGAGGTTCTGTATATGGGACATGCGATATTACTGCGATTACTTTAACAGATGAAAGGCGTCGGCGATCAGTGCCGCTTGCAGATGCTTCGATTCGTTGTTACTTTCTAAAACGGCGTGGAAACCACAGAACGCCTGCTGCAGCTACCAGCGAGTCTCTAGCGTGGAACACAGCGGAAGCACTTTAATGCACGATGACAAAAGGCTTTATAAGTGCATTTCCAGCTGCATTTAATTTAGGAGCAGGTATATGCAGATAAGAAAGCAGGATTATTTTAAGAATATATATATTGGCCTATATATATATATATATATATATATATATACACCTCTGTTCAGAATAGTCACTATAATCATAATTTCCCTATTCTCCCTAATGTTTTATTCAACTTTCACGGTTGTTAATGAAATAAATTAATGCAAATCCCATTAAAAACACGTAAATGCTGTTTTGAAAAAACTGAAGGCGATTCTAAGAGATTATAAATGCACATGATCCTACTAGTTTATTAGTGATATGTACTAAAAAAAAAAAAAAAAATTATTTAACAGCTTTTATGGTTTGTATTTCTTTTTTTTTTTTTTTTAAAAAAAAAAAAAAAAATTATTTAACAGCTTTTATGGTTTGTATTTCTTTTTTTTTTTTTTTTAAAAAAAAAAAAAAAAGAAATACAAACCATAAAAGCTGTTAAATAATTTTTTTTTTTTTAATAAAATCTAAATAAAAAGACAGTCAAACTTTTGATTGAACCATTTGGAGGAATATTGTGATCTAATTCTTTGTTGCTTGTTATCTAATCATTTTATTATATTTATTTTGACTGCTTTACTGACAGTTGGGCGCGTGAAGCACGGATACAATTAGTAAAATATGCCTCTCGCAGCGTAATGATATTTAACCAGGTGGCTTATTTTCTACCCATTCTTTTGGGGGTCTTCAAACAACCCGGAAGTAAAGCTCACCGATCGCTTAGCTCATAAAAGACCGTTTTCAGACGATTCCAACACGCCAGTTTGGTGTATAACTGTATATTATCACCACAATATTTATGACTTCCAAAGTAGTGTATTATTATATAAATAACAAGGATGCTCTGCAGTGCTACACAGACACCAGAGGGCGCTAAAGAGAGAACATTGCGCTTCGTATCCACCTTTTTCTTCAACGCGGAAGTAAGCCTATGGGTGAGACTTCCGGTTCATTAGCCGCTATAGGTAAATAAATAACGAGGAGAATAACAACGTGCAGTAAACGGTAAAACTGTTTGCACTACAAACCAGTGTGTTCATAATTAAGATAATGCATTAAAATAATATGATAAGACACACCAACTTTCAATATCAAGCAGCAAAACGAACTGTTTTGCTCAGCTAAAAATAGCCGGACGGAGTGGACGCAGATGAGACCGGAAGCCAGACCCATAGAATTTACAAATGGCCGCGCCCATTTTTTTTAAATTTTTTTAAATTAATTGAATCCCTCAAATTCAACACTTTACAGTAGCCAGGGGGTGACCACAAAGAAAAAGAGATACAAAATGACAGTGAAATAAAGAGAAATTAACAAATAAATTACATGAAAACATGGAAATGTTTACATACATTAATACACTTAACAGCTTTCTTGTTTATCAAATTGTAAATTGAGTTTAGATAATGTTTCACTTCGGATTTCAAAATGAGAAACAATGGTTACGACAAGAAAAAGGTGGATACTGTGATCATACAGGCACGATATTTCCATTATAATATCCTCGTTTGTGGTTGTTTTCGCTTCATTTTAAATGTTTATTTTGATCAGAGAGTAAGAAATGGAACAAAGCCGAGTGGCCATCTTTTTAATTGATTGACATTTTCTTATCGTTCTAATAACGTCTGTAATTGTATTGGCTTGTTATATGGTTATTTTACGATTTTATGTTATAGTTGATTTAAAAATGGTTAATAATGTAATGAACTAAACATTTAGCAAAATGTTTTTCGCGCCTTACCGTTAATGTCCAACAGGCGGCAGCCGCGGCACTAAAGACAAGGGTTGTTGATTTAGACCACCGCCGAAGAAGTGAAGACGCGTAGCGCGATTAATTCGCTGAATTTAACAACGTTGTCTTTCGGTTTTAAAAAGCAAGGGCGGAGTCACCGGTGAGATTAACAACGCCTACAGATTAACCCAAGACCAGAAGAGCAGCGGATCTGACAGGAGCGCAAGGAAACCTCTCAACGAAAATCTAAGCAAAATATGTTTTCTCTTCCCACAACCTTTCAGTCGCAGGTATGAGGACATTTAATTGTTTTAAATAGTAGATGTCAAAGCCCTTTTTGTGAATAAATGAGCGGCTTTAGCGAGTAATGGAGTAACTGAACAGTGTCATTGAGGCTCTCCATGACAAACACTGATTTTGTCAATGTCATCTGATTAAAGTAGATATTTAAAACAATAATATCGTTTGCTGTTAAAAAGTTTATTTTAAGTCTATTTCTGGCTCATTCTAGACCTGTAGTCACCCATCAAACAGATTACATCATCTGAATGACTATTTATTTCCATCTGTTGAGATTCTTCTTAGTTTTTCTTCACTGTTGACTGAACATATACTTTACAGATATGCTATGTTTATATATTGTATTGAAGTATTTTAGTTACTTTTTGTATTTTTCTGATGACATTGTTACGTAACAGTACCTTCATGCTGTTATACAACAAAAGCAACAGCTGTTTAATAGAGAGACTGAGTGTGTACGTGTCTGGAGGAAAGTTTCAGTAGTGTGTCAGTATGTCAGGAGTGACATAACTGACCTACAGACCAACATTCTCTATTAGCAATCATATGTAGAGAGCTTATCAGTCACTTTGACTATATGATAGCTTAAGGACTATTTGGCAACTTAATGCAATTCTATTCTTTTATTTGCTAACCAGTATTTTCCACACTAGGTTATGCAATGTGACCAAAATGTTATCTTTTTTAGGGAACAGTGCCTTTGACCCATCTGATCAATGTGGTCCAGTACCTGAAGAGTTCAGCCAACACTGCCATCACCACATCAGTGCAGAGTCTACAGAGAGACCTTTCACCTGAACATGACCCAGATCTCCGTGAGGTATGACGGTCACAACAACAGCACACACTGTTTTATAGCACGTGCATGCTAGACTTCTTGTTTACACTAGGGTTATGATAGTTAACTAAAACCAAACCAGTTTTATTACTTGAAACAAAATGTATATAAAATGAAAACTTACTTTATTGGAGCTAGTTGCCAGTGCAACATTTCAAATTTTCATTTAGTTTAAGCTGATGTCCTAAAATAACTAAAACGTAAATACAAATATTAAAGGGGTAATATGATGATGCTGCTATAAAGAACATTATTTTGTGTATTTGGTGTAATGAAATGTTTATGCAGTTTAAGGTTAAAAAAACACATTATTTTCCACATACTGTACATTATTGATTCTCCTCTATGCCCCGCCTTTCTGAAACGCGTCGATTTTTACAAAGCTCATCGGTCTGAAAAGCGAGGTGTGCTCTGATTGGCCAACGAAACACACAGCGTCTTCACGACATGGCGGCGGCGGCAACAATACTACAGCGAGAATAAAAGTTACGCCTTCTTTCTTTGCGGGAACATTTGGGCGGCGTTATGCAAATCTTTCCACATCGTGACGTAGACATGTGGGGGCGTGTTAGAACGAGCCGTTTTAGGTAGGTGTGGCTGACTCTTAACTTTTATAAAGAATATCTCTTTGGATTTGAGACTTTAGTCTTTGCAACTTTACAGATCTTCTTTATGCACCAAGAGCTTGTAACACGCCAAAGAGAAAGGAAAAATTGAAATCGCATCATATGACCCCTTTAATAAAACTATATAGACGTATTTAAAAAAAAATTACAAACACAATAAAATTATGAAAACTTTCACTAAAATGAAAATTAAAATAGAAAACATAAAAATAAAAACATTTAAAATGTTAATAAAATAATACTAAATTAAAACATGATGCTAAAAAAAATTGCTAATTGGCCTGTTTTCACAGCCCAAAGTAAACTTAAAGGACCTGGGTCTGTCAGAGCTGAGGTATAGTCATGTACGTGATGTTCTGGAGCACCTGCTGCCTTCTATAGATCCAGAGGAGAAATCCATATCCAGCGCTGCTCAAAACTCAGCAACATGGAGAACATCTCACATTTCTGCCTCCTCCTTCTTCCAAAACAAATATGGTGAGGTTACTCACAGCATGAGGTGATGGTGCCATGTTTTGAAGTAAATTTGTCTCTGTGAAGTGTTGGTAGCTCAATAGTTAGGTTAGTTATTCCCTTACAGAATTTGTTTATGCAATCACTTTTTCTTTTTTTTATTTTGTCAACATTATTGAGCATTTCAAATATAGGTTGGTCTAACTTTACCGGAAATTACACTGTGCCATTTCAAACCTACTGTACTTGAATACTTTGTGTAAGCTAGATCACAAGTTGATAAATACGTAACATATTTATTAGGATGTTGAAATATTCTGTTTTATTCACCAGCATGTTTACTGATTCCCAGCAGCTTTCCGGTCTTAAAAAAGTTATTTTTCTTGTCATTTGGAAACTAATGTTCCATTTTGTTCTTAGCAAGGTGATTGCTATAAGTGTTGTCTAATGTAAGTTGTCTGTCTTCTTGTTAACATAGGGTTCTCTCACAAACACATGGGACTCTTTGGCTCTCCAGTGTTTCGCAGGCAAAGTTCCAGCCCCCTCCAGGTGGCCTGCGTAGATCTGCATCATCTGCAATGTAATCTTTACCTATTAGTGACCAAAAGATAAAGGGCCATTCACATCAAGGACTTTAACTATAACAATAACTCTTATAATTATTATAATTCTATGAGAACAGTGAAGTTCACACCAAAACTATAATGATAACAACATAGATAAACATTGCTGTTGAAATAATTTCAGAATGTAATTTTTTTTTTCTTGCTGTTGAACAAAAAAAAAAAACATTGACAGGCAATCAGAATCCATCCTTCTTTAAAGAGCTTGAACATTTAAAGGAACAGGTGACAAAACTGCAGTACACACTTAATAAGTTAAACAAAATATTATTCTCCGTTGGTATGAATGCTAGTATAGTTATTGTTATAGTTATCATTGTTGTTGTGAATGGTGCCTTTACTCAGTTACATTCTGTTACATTATTGCCATTGATGGAGTTTTGGGTTCATTAGATGTGTGTATTTTTGTGTTTATGCTCAGTATGGGTCCAAAACAGAGGTTTCAAGACAATGAAGTCCAAGACCAGACATGTGCAGTCTGGTTTTGAAGGTCCAGTAGATGCAGAGAATTATAAGCCAGCCTTTATGAAGGTTAGTAAGCTGCATGACACTGGGGAAATAATAGTTAAGGCAGTTCTGGTCTCAGAAATACAGCAGAAATGTCTGAATGTGCTTAACCTGTAACCTGTCCTCTTCAGGGCCTCCTTATGAAGGAAAAGCAAGACATGGGGAGTCTTGAACAGTTATTGAAACGGAATAACTTGCCAGAATCTGACCAGGATGCTTTTAAGATCGGCTTCACAGAGGGCTTCCTGAAAGCTCAGGCTTTGACACAGAGAACTCAAGGTAATGCATTTAGGCCTTTTTAAAAGATTCTTATCTAACATTAGCCCAGAGTTTGCTTAATATTAAAAAATGTGTTTGCTGCAGGAACTTTGTGCTTACATCTTATGTCTCTAACAGACTCTGTAAAGAAGACACGTTTGATTATTTTTGTCCTCCTGCTTGTGGGTCTGTATGGTGTGTCCAGAAGCCCTCTCTTCTCGGGTAAAGGGTCGTTTTCCGACACTGGTTTGTTTCCCATTTTATTCTTTCTTTATATTTGCTTCCCTAGAATATATTGATTGATGGCATGCATTTGACTGTAGCTGGATTTCTTCTGCAGCTTTTATAATAATGTAACAACACAAAAGGTTGTAACATGAAAGGTTTTGTTGCTGTGGTGTGAAATTGTTGGTAGTTTTTTTGACTTTTTGAGTTCTGAGCAGATCATTAAAATGCAATATGTTCAAGTCTTCATTTTATCTATTTACCTATGTAGTTCGTTTCCGCACCACCTCTGGTCTGGATTCAGCTGTGGACCCCATTCAGATGAAGAATGTCACCTTTGAACATGTAAAAGGTGTGGAGGAAGCCAAAAACGAGCTTCAGGATGTTGTCGAATTTTTGCGAACCCCCCAGAAATTCACTGTGCTCGGTGGTAAACTTCCCAAAGGTGAAACTCTTTACTTCATTTACTTAAGGACATAGGTTTTTTTTTGTTTTTTTGTTGTATAAAATATCTAACCTAGATGTGTATTTTAGGTATCTTGCTTGTGGGGCCTCCAGGAACAGGAAAAACCCTGTTGGCCAGAGCTGTAGCAGGTGAAGCAGACGTGCCCTTTTACTACGCCTCCGGGTCAGAGTTTGACGAAATGTTTGTGGGAGTTGGCGCGAGTCGCATCAGAAACCTTTTCAGTGAGTCGTTTAAGGAAAAACATAGTCTTGCATTGCCCATAATGCTTCTGCTGTTAATAAAATCACTCCTTTACTGTTTTTTCTCACAGAGGAAGCCAAAGCTAGTGCACCATGTGTAATATTTATCGACGAACTGGACAGTGTAGGAGGGAAGAGAATCGAGTCTCCCATGCACCCATACTCGCGACAAACCATCAACCAGCTGCTCGCTGAGATGGATGGGTAAGTCAATGGCTTTTTATTACATTTCTTCTTTTTGAAAGAAATGACACAGGTCTTATTGTAGTATTTTGATGATTTCAGGTTTAAACCCAATGATGGAGTCATTGTGATTGGAGCTACGAACTTTGCTGAAGCTTTGGACAAGTAGGTTTCTCCAGCCATCTGTTCAAAGGATAGTTTACTCAAAAATGAAAAATCATTTACTTGTCCAAACCCATAACACTTCTTTGAAACTCAAATGAAAATATTTATGAAACCTGAGAAATTTCTCTCCCTCAATTGAAAGTCCAGGTAACTAAAACTTAGAAAAGGTCATAAAGGCATCGTAAAATGAATCCATATAAATTGACTGGATTAATCCAAGTCATGTGAAGATATACTATCGCTTTATATGGTGAACATTTTATTTTTGTTAAAAACATTTAACAACATAAAACATTAAAACATTTATATAAGTTTTATTTTTGGTTAAACTATTCCTGTAATTCCATGTTTTTACATGCAGGCATATTTATATTTTAAAGGGGTGGTTGATTATGCTTTCACTTTTTTAACTTTAGTTATTGTGTATTGTTGATGTTCGAGCATAAACAACATCTTATAAGTTACCACGCTCAAAGTTCAATGCAAAGGGAGATGCTTTCTTTGAAAGAAATTGCTGTTTGAGGACTGCAAAAAAAGGCTGGTAGCGACAACGAGCTTCTTCCTGGGTATCACTAACCTCGATGTTTACATAAACCCTGTCCCCGGGAACATGCAACTACCTGTAATACTTAACCTGTAATCGTGGCCTAATGGTTAGAGAGTCGGACCTGTAACCCAAAGTTGCGAGTTCGAGTCTCGTACCGGCAGGGATTGTAGATAGTGAACGCCGCAGCATAAATGGCTGCCCACTGTTCCGGGTGTGTGTTCACGGTGTGTGTGTGCACTGCTGTGTGTGTGCACTTTGGATGGGTTAAATGCAGAGCACTAATTCCAAGTATGTGTCATACTTGGGTCACCATACTTGGCCACATGTCACGTCACGTCACGTAATGTTAGGGGGGTGTGACGTTTCCAGACAACGTGCACTAGGCGGTTAGCGAATCACAACACGCTGAGCCAGCTAACCAATCTGAGCCCGATTGCGTATTTCTGAGGGAGGGGCTTCAGAGACTGTACACTGCACCCCATAAACACAATCAAGCTTTCGAAAAAAGCTGATCAACCACCCCTTTAATGCAAACACTAAGCTTAGGCTAATAGACTCACAAGTGGGTTCCAAAATTTGCATAGAGCAGCTCACGTTTGCAGAAATACTTTAAAGGTATTAAAGCAACAAACGCCAAATCCCACTGATATCTTTAACTAAGAATATTTGACTCCAGCTTTAACATGAAACTTATAGCAGGTAGTTTCTACTGCTTTTGATCTGTTTTCATCCAGGCATGTGTTTCTCTGATAGGGCACTATGTTTCTGTAACTGTCTAGTTAACATTTTACTCTCTAATCATACAATCTTTGTGATAGCCTAAATCTATAAACCTCTTATGATAATGTGTGTTTTAGTGCTCTGGTGAGACCTGGCCGGTTTGACATGCAAGTCACCGTCCCAAGACCAGATGTGAAGGGACGCACAGAAATCCTGGAGTGGTATTTGAAAAAAATTAAGGTGGATTCTGGTAAGAATGATTAAGAGAAACCAAATATGTTCTTGTTAGTACAATCCAATAAAATAACCTGTTTGTGTGTGTTTTGTAGCTGTTGATGCGGAGATCATTGCTAGGGGAACAGTGGGTTTCTCTGGAGCCGGACTGGAGAACTTGGTGAACCAGGCAGCGCTGAAGGCAGCAGGCGATGGGAAAGACCTGGTGACCATGAAGGAGCTGGAGTTTGCGAAGGATAAGATCCTTATGGGTGAGGGCAGTAGGGACATACAGATTACTCTCTGCACCATGTGATGGGGATTAATGCTTTGATCAAAGAGATTCTTTCCTGACATCTTCTTCTCTGTCTGTCCAGGCCCAGAGCGCCGGAGTGTGCAGATTGACAAGAGAAATAAGATGATCACAGCCTATCATGAGTCAGGACATGCTATAGTGGCTTATTACACCAAAGACGCAATGCCAATCAACAAAGCTACCATCATGCCACGCGGCCCTTCACTTGGTCATGTGAGTAGCTGGTCTTAATGTTTCATTATGATGTGAAGTAGTTGTTTCACAATAATAAAAGCTTTTCAGACAAAAAAAGTTCAACAGTAGTTTTGCAGAAAGAGGCTTCAAGAAATTATAGCTTTTGCTCTCTAGGGGTATACATCATAAACCCATTGTGCTGCTTTCTCTGTTTTCTCTGGTCTCTCTCAGGTATCTTTGCTGCCAGAGAATGATCGCTGGAATGAGACACGGGCCCAGCTGCTGGCTCAGATGGACGTCAGCATGGGCGGCAGGGTTGCTGAGGAACTGGTGTTTGGAAATGATCACATCACTACCGGTGAGAGGTGTCCCTAACTGAACATTGCTACTTTAAATTCTTGAAATTATCAACATCATGATGTTTTATTTGTTCCTCCTACAGGAGCATCCAGTGATTTTGATGGAGCCACTAAAATAGCACAGATGATGGTGACGCAGTTTGGAATGAGTGACGAGGTAAAAAATAATTAATCATGAGAAAAAATCTATTTTTTTCTTGTCTTGTGTGGTCAGTAATGCTTTCATAATTTAGGTCAAAGTGTCCCAAACTGCAGTTTGTGAGTTGATGATAAAGTAATAAATATAATTGTATTAATTAATTTTAAAAGTTGACATAAAAACATAAAATAAAACACTTTTTTAAATGTTTTTATTTCATTTGTTTACCTGCATGTCGTGTCAATTATTGCGCATCAGAGAACCGTGAACATGTAAATGTTGAGTTAAATTATTGAAATATTAACTTCAAGTCAATATTGTAGGTCAAAGGGATTCAACTGAGTCAGATCACATTTTAAGTGAAAATATTTTATATATTCAAAAAGAAGGGATGCAAATAGCTATTTGGAGAAGCCATTTGAGTCCTTCCACGTGTTCAAAGCCATTAGGGATGTGTAAGCGCTCACATTCCAGACTTAAATCTGTTTCATCCTAATCCGTTCCCCAGCACTCGGTTCATACTCCACATCCAAAAATTAGCAGTGCATATGCAGGGTCTAAATTACATTCAGATCTACCCATCTCTAACGTCAGGATCCTGTCGTAATCAGAAACTTGTGTGAAGCCTTTGTGCTTTAATATTCACTCACCTCTCTGTGCTTTGAGCAGCTGGGGGTCATGACCTATAATGACCTGACGAACCATAGCTCTGAGACCCAGGCTGCTGTAGAACAGGAAGTCAGGGTGCTGTTGCAGGTAGGTGTTTAGTTTTTGTTTGTAAGCGATATTTGACTGATGATTATGGCAATTCTTCTTCTAATTTGAATTGCCGAAATTTCATACAGAACTCGTATGAAAGGGCAAAGAATCTACTTAAGACCTACAGCAAAGAGCACAAGCTGCTGGCCGATGCCCTGCTGACTTACGAGACTCTAAATGCAAAGGAAATTCAGATGATCCTGGAGGGAAAGTCACTAGATCCCAGATGATGAAGTCTTGGATTAACAGAGACATTTCAAGGCACAATCTTACCTTACCTGTAAATATAAATGTTTGTAATAAAAAAGGCATTTGGAAGACTTTCTGGCCTTCTCTCTTAATATTTTTCATTTTCAGGCAAAACATTGGCTTTCAAACAGACACTAAGCTAACAGAAATTCAGATCTTTCCTATTAATTTAAGAGGGTAAATTGACATCAGAAGTGTATATGCCTCAGCAGTGAACCAATTGTAATAGCTACAAATCAATTAAACTGTAAATTCTTGCTTTGTTTTTAGAACCTAAGTATATAACAGGAAAATTATGATGTTCATTACTTGTTTTCTTCACCCTATTCTCTGTTACCCAGACATCAGATTGAAGCACTTGCATACAAGTCATTTTATGAAATGGAGAAAAGCATGAAGCTCATAAATAGTGCATTTTCCTTGAAAGCAAGTGGCATATCAGAATGTCCCATTTTCAATAATCATATTAGTACAGATTGTTCACTTTTTCAATGCAACCTTAAATCACAAACCAAGTACGAATGTGACTTAGGAATGTCAGTATTATTTTAGCATCTACAGATACAGAATAAATATATCTGTAAATGCATATCTGAGGAATTGACTCGGAGTACTGTAGATTTTTGTGTAATGTTTCCACTGAAACTTTCGACCTTAGTAGGCCCTGATTTTATTCATTAAATTATTTATTTCAATATGCTTTTTCCAGGGGTATCTAAAGCCTCCTGCCGCTATCCTCTGCCACATTTGGGTTGTCTGCATGTGTATGTTTAAATGACTCGGGTAACTGCACAGTTTATATGTGTGTTTGAATTTTGAAATTATTATTTGTGTGCTTTCTTTTGAAATTAATACCATGTTTATTTGTATTTCTCTCAATCAGAAATTAACATTGATGGACTAAATAAAGTATATAAATAAAGCCTATTTCCTTGTTGTTTCCTGAAAGCAAGAATGTTAAGCTGGGTATGAGACTGAAATTAACACTGAAATGAATCTGGTTTAATTTCATGGATCCTTTTGAAAGGTCCGGAATAAAATACTGGCAGTAAACCATTCAGTCTGAAAATCGCAGGTATCAGGTTAGGTGTGCTGAGATGATCTTTGGTTATCTTATTTCAAATTTGTGGTCTACACATATTTAGGTCCTTTTTTCTCATCATTTGCTATATGTTTCTTTATGGAAGCCAATTAAAGCCAATCATGAATTAGGGAATCACCTCAATAGCTTTGAGACAATAGCTTTGTTGTGTCCGTGAGAGAAACTGCACTCAGTGTTTTGCATCTTTACCAAAGTCTGTAATTAAAGGGTTTTGTTTCAAACCACCACAATTACTGGTTAAAAGAGGAAGGATTGCATGTTTAAAGACCCTTTGTTGAAAGAATTGTGTTTTCCCATTGGTTTTCTGTTGTGAAAGGCTTTATAAAAATGCCTAGATGTTATTGGGACCTGATGAATACTGGTCACAAACATGAGCAGAGCTGAGATGAGAGATGCTTGTGCTTAGTTTTTTTACTTTTTGCAAAGAGACATAATGATCTTTGAAATAAATAATCACAAAAATGGAGGATATTGCTATAATTGGAATTGGATGCAACTTCCCAGGAGGTAAATGTGTGTTTTTAGAGAGGTGTGTGTGTGTGTGTGTAACACATAGGTGAGGGTGATGATAGTTTCTGGAAAGTTCTTGTGGAGGTAAGGAACTGTGTGGAACAGATTCCAGATGAAAGATTTGACACATCAGAATGGTTTCATCCTAATAAGAGCAAACCAGGAAAAACACAGATGACCAAAGCTGCTCTCATTGAAGGGTAGGAATACCTTAATCATTCATGATTATGCATTTGAGGTTTCCGTTACTAAAAAAGTGAAATGATAAAGTAAGTAGTCTTTATTTTGCAGGTTCAGGGAGTTTGATCACAAGTTCTTTGGCATCAGCGAGGCTGAAGCTTATTACATGGACCCTCAGCAGAAACTGTTGCTGCAGTGTGCATACCGAGCTCTAAAGGATGGCGGGATACCCTTGGAATAAGTGAGCGGGACCAGAACAGGGGTTTACATAGGTAATACATCTAATGCAAGAAGTTCACTTTTTTAACTTTTGGGAGTTTTTAGAATACCGATACAGTGTTGTGTTTGATTTCAGGTCTTATGAACAGGAATTATGAGACACTTCTGAACAACAGTCCCAGCACAATAACCCACTATAATGGCACCGGAACAGCTATGAGTATAGCTGCCAACAGAATTTCCTATATCTTCAACCTGACTGGACCTTCATTTGCCATTGACAGTGCATGTTTTTCATCCCTTGTCGCCCTTCACTCAGCATGCCAGGTCATCAGACAAGGTAATGATACTATTTCAACTCTGAAGTCTGTTCATTGCTTGATATTTAAGTTGTTAATTATCCTTGTTTTACCTCATCACTAGGGGACTGTGAAATGGCTCTGTGTGGAGGGGTCAGCTGTATCCTTGAACCTCGAGTCTTTGTGGCCCTCAGCAAGGCAAAGATGATCTCACACGAGGGCACAAGCAAGGCATTCTGCCGTACAGCAGATGGCTATGGCAGAGGGGAGGGATGTGGTATAGTCCTACTGAAGCCTTTGGAAAAAGGTATATATTTTACTTTTTTTTTTAATTATTATTCATAATATTAGTATTAAATTCAGTTAGGGTTTTATAATAAGGTAAATGTCTCTTTTCAGGCTCTTGAGGACTTTGATCATATTTGGGGCATTGTGAACAAGACTGCAGTAAACCAAGATGGCCACACCGATCACCAAACCCTCCATGACCCAGCAGGAGGCTCTACTGCGCATGATCTATTCCTCTCAGAATTATCTAGCAAACGTCCAATATGTAGAAGCTCATGGGACAGGAACACCAGCAGGAGATCCGGTTGAAGCAGGAAGTATCTCAAAAATTATCGCCAAAGCAAGACCTTCAAGCTCAGGGCCTCTGTTTTTTGGCTCTGTTAAGAGTAACATTGGACATACAGAATCTGCAGCAGGGGTGGCAGGACTCATAAAGATTCTATTAATGATGAAACACGGAACCATTGTCCCTTCTGTGTTCTACTCAACAGAAAATTCCAGCATAGATGCTAAAGCTCTCAATCTTAAAATCCCCACCAGAGCTGAAAAATGGCTTTACTCTGGATCCAGGATAAGGATAGCTGGCTTAAACAGCTTTGGGTTTGGTGGCACCAATGCCCACGCCATCATCAGCGAGTATGTTCAAGCAACAGTCTCCGACAGCCACACTCACTGTCTGCAGCCACGGATCAGTCTCTTCAGTTGTGCATAGCTGACACGTATCAGAGGATTTCAGCAGATGAGACAGTTGATCTACAAGCTCTTGCTTATACATCTGCCTGCAGAAGAAGCCACATGACACACAAATTTAGGAAAGTCTTTGCTGCATCATTTGTGTCAGAATTAAAATCACTACTCAAAGCTAGCATCAACAAGAAATTAGCCCCAACAAAGCAAGACCTAAAGTTAGTTTTTGTATTTTGTGGGAATGGAGTTACTTATAGGGGAATGTGTAAGCAGCTACTGAGAGAAGAACCTGCATTTAGGGACAAGATCAAAGAGGTGGAAAACAACTTCCAAAAGTTCAGATACACCAGTATTTTGCAAAAGATCGCAAACAGCTATGACAATGAAGATTTCTCTATACCAAACGTTGTCCAGCCACTTCTCTTTGCAATCCAGGTTGCAATTGCTCACCTTCTTAAGAACTGGGGCATCAGACCAGATATTGTTCTTGGACACTCTGTGGGAGAGATTGCTGCAGCTCATTGCTCTGGCCTGCTGTCTCTTGAGGATGCAGTAAAGATTGTCTACCATCGCAGTGTGCTGCAGACCAAAGTGATGGGTGGGAGGATGCTGGTCGTTGGTAACGTTGCTGTTTCAGATGTTCTGGAAATTCTCTCTGCGTACACAGGAAAGATTTGTCTAGCTGCTGTGAACAGTCCTATGTCATGTGTCCTGTCAGGTGATAAAGAAGCAGTTGACAATGTGCACCAGAAGCTTCAGTCTTTGTTCAAGGGCAAGAACCTGTTCCTTCATGTCTTGGATGTTCCCGCTGCCTACCATAGTCATATGATGGATCCTATACTGAGCCAAATCAAAGACAGCATTGGACTTTTAACTTTTTTCTACAGTAACAGGAGAGATGTGTCATCAAGGGGACTTTGTCACAGGTGAATACTGGGCAAGAAACATTCGAAAGCCTGTTGCATTTGAACAAGCAATTAAATCAGTTTCTAACCACACAAGGAACATAGTCTTTGTGGAAATTGGTCCAAGACTGGCTCTCCAGAGGAACATCATGGAGAGCCTGGGAAATGACACCACAGTGCTTCCTTTAGTGCATCTAGATAAAGACCACGAGACAATGTTCACAGCTGTATCAAAACTCTTTGAACTGGGGATCAATGTGAAGTGTGACGAGTTCTACAAAGGGTTTGAAGCTGAGCTTGTTGCTTTCCCAAGGTATCAGTTTGAATGTCAAAAGAATGAGGTATAACTTTGAGGATGTAAGACGGGGAAATGACACAGTCTTTCGCAGTTCACATCTACTGATAAGTCCAAGTAAACATGATGGCAAAGTGATCAAGTGCAACCTGTCAGCAGCTACAACCTCCTACCTTTGGGAACACAAGAACAATGGCATCTCCATTGCCCCAGGGGCATTGTATGTTGAATTGGCTTTTGCATCCATAATGGAAACTGCTATTCCAAAAAGACCTCTTAACTCATTTGGGCTCACAATCAACTTTCAAAGTTTGCTTGTTCTAACTAAGAACTGCCCTACTCTTAAAATCACAACTGAGACATCCATGGATACAACCGCATTTCAGGTTCAGTCCTCTATTACTGTGCATGCATCAGGCACCATCAGCCATGAAGAGGGACCAGCTTTGATCGAACAGCAAACCATTCACCTCAACACTGTTTTCAAGAGATGTCCATCAGTCATTAAAACAATGGATGTGTACAACACTCTTAAAGACATAGGATTTGAGTACGGGCCCCACTTCAAACAAC